AAAACCAGCAATATCTGGAACCAAAAATACATGAATACTTAATGAAAACTGAGGCATAAAACACACACACACATGGACCTCGTATGAGAATGGGTGAATATTTATTTATTTCAAATGGCAGGCGTTTTGATGATTTATTTATTTCAAATGGCAGGCGTTTTGATAGATATTATTTTTATTTATTTCAAATGGCAGGCGTTTTGATAGTTATCATAAGCCCATTAGCAGTCTTCGGACTTCACAGAGGAGAGGAACATCATAATGGGAAAAAATCGAGAAGAGGGAAAGAAGAGTGATTCACAGATATAAAGTGACAGTTGGACACAACTGCAGAGAAAAGGCAAGATGAGTACTGTGAAACTGGTCGAATATGACCTACAGTGGGGTCATAGTAGTTTGAAGCGAGAAGTCAACTGCCAGTTAATAGACATTTTTGCCGAATGAGTATACGTTGCTCAGGGTGCACCACGTGGAGGTAAGTCTACCGCGGTAGAATGGGTGAATATCAATACTGTTATATTAAGCAAGGAGTCTTGACAAGGTTGCCGTGGCGTAACCCCTTTTGAGGCCTTGAAATTTCAATTTTAGGATATTTGGCTATTTTTGATATGTTTAGACGTTCAAATTTGTGAAGTTCTTGTATTGCCATGTGCAATTCTACAGGTATATAGTAATCACATCAACTCTATTCAGAGTGTCACAGAAAAGACTTCTGAACGGGAACAAAATAGTTTTTTCTCAATGAAAGGTGATATAGCGTGGAGCATTCATTCCTTTAGTGTTATCTAAACAAAAGACACATTATGGCACACTTATCAGGGTTACTAATTACTTAAGATGGGAATTGAGGATATTGAAATTATATTCACTAAGAAGGGGTGTGTGATAGACTTACCTCCACGTGGTGCAACCTGGGCAAAGTATACTCGTACGGCAAAAAAGTCTATTTTTCGGAAATTGACTTCTGACTTCAATTTATCGTCACCTCACTGAATACCATATTCGACTACTTCCACAGTTCTCACCTCACTCTATGCCATATTCGACTATTTTCACAGTTTGATCCCATTGTATGTCATATTCGACTACTTCCACAGTTCTCACCTCACCTTTTTTCTACCTTTGTGTCTGTTTCTTTTACATTGTTGAAACACTTCTGTTTCCCCCCTTCCCTCAATCTCGACTTTTTCTGACTTTGATGTTCCTTCCTCTCTGTGAAGCCTAAAGTCAACTAAATGGTTAATGATAGCTATCAAAATGCCTGCCATTTGATATAAATAAATAAATATTCACTAAGAGGGATCTGAAGTGGGAGCATACGCGTGCCATCATACATTGCAGAGAGTAGAATGGGTTGAATCCAGGTCTCCCAGTGATGAAACTAATGTCCACAGGCAAAAAACTTTAAGATCTAACCTTTGCACATTTTTCACTTTTATTTAAGCTACAAGTCAGTTGGTTAAAGTCTGGTTTCAAGCCTGATTCCTTATTTGCTTTCGCCAATATGTTTAAACAAATTGGAAAGACTGAAAGATGCTACTTTATTTACTGTATTAATGAAAACAACAGCACCACCATAAAAATGTGCTATATTTAGAGAAATGAGTTATAATTGTATCCTCGAGTTAGTAGCTCTTCGTTTCAGGCCAATTATACAAAGTGGTGCAAACTATGGCTATATATTCGCGAACTTTATAAAAGTTGATTTCACACAAAATCTGTTGGAATTCGCTCTCACTTTCAATTGTAATTAGTCAAAATTTAGGAAACCATTTTCTGATTTTCATTCTTTGTTCTCACGCGAAATCATAATTCCGAAATTGCAATTTTAAGTGCAGAATATTTAATAGCTTTCATGCTATGCTCAATTTGAAATTGAGGGTTTAGATATTTGCACAGTTGGGGGGGGGGGGGGGGTTGGGAGGGGAGGAGGGCTGTGGACTTTATTGAAACAAAATTATCCCCGTATGCCATTGATGCTTCCTAACTTTTTGATCAGCTCATTTGTAGATCGGTAGACCCACATTTCATAATAGCCTAATCCCTGGCATTTATGCACCAAATTGAGAGGATGGAAGGAAGCCTAAAAGCGTCTTATATGCGCAATATATCTTGGGACCGTGCATTCCATATGACAATCAAATTAACAGACAGCGAAAGTGACTAGGAGTTGCCAGTGAATCCACCATGAATGTAATTGCTGCTTCAAGAGGTTAACACTGATTTGATAAACTTACTTATTAAATGGGGATTAATTTGAGCCATAGCATTCAGCAGAACAGTCTAAGCTATCTTATTCAATTTATTTGAAGGAGTATTTTCATTAACTTACAATTGATCGGTTTTGCAGTGAAACTTCTGATCTGTGATTTCGTCCATTGCAGTCTCATTAAAGCGATAGTTCGCGACTATCCTTCAGATCATGAACTTCAGTAAAATATTCTATTGCTGATCGCTAATGTCTCGATTGCGTTGATAAAGGCACTTCGACTTGTGCATTTAGGGATTTATGACTTTGCAGAATAAATTTTAAATTATAAGCTTTTAAATAGGACCAATTTCGATTTCGGGATTTCCAACCCCATTAATACTCTCTTCATTAGGAATTTCGTGAGCACTTTAGTAGAGTCAAACACTTAAGCCATAGATTCGCCAATTAAGATTAACGATTATCAAAAGTACAAATTAGCATTTTGATAACATGGCAGATGGCAACTCAGGATTACAGGAGAAATTTTTTTCTCAATATAACCAAGATTAGGTGGGTGTATCTGCCCTACAAGATCATTAAAGCAGCCGGGTCAACTTCTTGCCCAGCTAACAGTAATTCTGAAATAATTAGCAAAAACTCCAATTACAAAATGTAGACAAGAAGAAAAACCCATCCCCTTCGCACCACAATGGAATCTTTCAGTTCTCACTAAATAGGCCAATCTTCTAGCTACGCAGATCTTCAATGCATAGTAGCGCCAATTGCCAAATTCTATATGGAAAAGTTTTGCTTTGATTGTCAAATCCGCCAGTTTCGTCAACAGCATCCTCTTACTCAGTGAATGTTTCAAGAAATCCACATATTCCATGCCCTAATAGTATTTCAGATAGGAAAAATCGATTTGATTGTTATATGTATAAAAATATATATGCACATATATTTGCGCTTTTCTAACAGGAGTAAAAAATCCCAATTTCGACAAATGTAGCAACACACACAGAGGGGGAGAGAGAGAGGGGGGGAGGGAACGAGAGAGCAATGTATGTGAAAGCTGTGTAGCATGAAGATTGGGCAATAAGTAAGACAACTATCTCATTTTACAATTTTATGCACACGGTAACGAGGATTCGACTTCGGTTTAATGACCCATTCTAATGCATAATCCCTAAACAAACAGAGGAGTGGGGAGGGAGAGAGGAGGGGGGAGGGGGGGGGGAGGAAGAGAAGGAAATTGTAATGAGGCTTTTAGTCAATATGAATAAAATATTGTAGTGTTCAGGAAAGCTCACTTTCTCTCGCCTTATTTATCAAAAAGAAGTGTAAGGATCAATGGGCAAGAAGAATTAGGTTAACACTTCATTAAGTGATAACAGATCCGTTTCATGGAGAATCTACATGGGAATTATGAATGTCAATAACCTAGCGAACCCTCATTTTATTTGTATGGGGGCTTCTCACATTACAACGCATAAATCGGCACTCCTCCGTAGGACAGCAACACTACGTTATTAGAATGTTATTCCTGGGTGTCTGGCAAAACTCCTTAATGTCATCTAACTTATTTACTCATCTTCCCAAACTTCATGTCTACTAACTTTAATGTCTAATTTGTCGCTGGACCGATTCCATTTACCAAATTTCCGTCTCTCTTAACCACCATGCTCTCTTCTCCTCAATAGTAATAGCAAAGTATAGCAGAACAATAATATACGACAAGTGAAATATTGATAATATATTAAAATAGGATAATTCTGTAACTAGAGCAAGCGTCTTTCATCGATAGAACCCCTGTCGAAAAGAAAGCGACCCACATTTAATAAATACTAATATATATAAATTTGAACTGTGGGGTGCTCGATAGACTTCCAGCCAAGGGTGCACCCTGTTTGGTGTATGCTTATACGCCAAAACGATCTATGAATCAATAGCTCATTTAAAACTACCATGACCTCACTATATGTCATATTCCACCACTTCTACAGTATTCACCTCACCTTCTCTACTTCTGTATCTGCCTCTTTTACATCTGTGAATCACTCGTCTATCCACCCTCTCGACTTTTGTGACTTCGTCCGTTCCTCCCCGAGGTCCGCTAAAGGGCAAATGATAGCTAACAACACATGTCATGTGATATTTATAAATTATTATTCTATTTTAATTTTAGTGCTGTTCTCAGCGCCTCTTTGAACCTCCCCTCCCACCACCCACCTCTCTTGAAAACCTCATGCGAGTTTTATGAACTGTTTCAGTTGCTCACAGCAATTTAAAGTGCTCGAACAAACCTAATGCTGCTAGGTTATAATAGTACGCGTAAATTCGTCTCGAAAACATGTTATCGTGTGTTTAAACTTCCGCTCCAATGATTATAATAATGTCCAATGCCCAGTTGATCACAAATCCCAATAATCTATTGCTATTATCAGGTAGCCACACCTAGTGATTACTGGAATTAATCCGAGAATCTGATGGAAGATCCCCAAAGCGACTTTTCCATCCTCTTTATCCGCAAATCATTATTGCGCTTGATTGACGAATATGCATCAAAGGACTGAGATTCTGTGTACGGTAACCCATTGCCTAATTTTTTGTAATCTCTATTTATTCCAGTTTATAACAAAACAATCTAAATTACGTTTCTAGTTTTATATTTCCCTTAACTGAAGAGCGTAGTAAATTGTTAATATCCATCAATTAGTAAGTAGTGCAGATAAACACAATGTACATCGCGATGCTGATTTTAAATTCTAGGCACTAATTTACAGTGCCTTCTCATATACAAGGAGAAGAGTTAAAAATAGTCAGCGAATTTGTAGAGGAGAACAATAAATTCAGTTGCAGCCATTTCTATCTCCTGCTCGTCCTTCGCCATCAATCCATTTCCAATAACATCTAATGCTTTTTCAAAGAAAATGTAGTAGTTAAATTCCACATTCCTTGGTTTAATTTCTTCATGCTGTTCACCGATTGGACTTTCCGCACCATGAACGTGAGATGGGTCACCGCGAATGATGCGGAGGTTGGACCCCTTTTGAAGGAGTGAATAGTAGGAAGTGCAGAACCTAAAGTTGACAAAATATGCTTATGATAGCTGTTATACACGGTTGATCTGCATTATTTTTAGAACATACTAGGCCTAATGATCGTCATTAACCATTCGATCATATATAACGCTAAATCAAATTAAATTCATGCGTTCTTCGCTTGCACACACATTATGATTGAGAATATGTTCATAGCAACTATCATTGCAGACCTAATAGTGATTTCAGCCCTTTTTTGTCGTTGGTCTGTTTAAATGAGGCCAAAATTAAGGCAGAAATCCCGCCGCCACATCACTGATTTGATTTTGATTTCACTAAATCGTCACCTTTTCATTTAAGTAACTCCTGAATTAGATAATTTGTGGGAAATAAAAGTGACTCTTGTTAAGCAGCCTTGTATGATGTAAATTTCGACTCTCAAGAAGCAAGATTTATACAAACGACAAGTGACGACTAACCGCCAAGTTTAAATTTAAAGTACTTTAACGATAAAGGTGTAAAAATCAAGTGGAAGTAAAATTTCACTCGAATAAACAAGAAATGCAATGGGAAAACATATTATTCTTTAATAATTTTGATATCGCTAGATGGGAATGCACGACTGATCTACCTCCACGTGGTGTATCCTGGGCAACGTATACTGCCATGACCCGACTGTAAGTCATATTCCATCAATTTCACAGTACTCACCTTGACTTTTTACCTTTGTGCCTGCTTCTCTTTTACATCTTTAAATCACTCTTCTGTCTCCCCTCACAAAAATTTTGGACTTTAATGTTCCTTCCCCTCTGTGAAACCCCAAGGCAACTAATGGGCTAATGATGACTACTATAAAGGCTGTCATTTGATGTAAATAATTATTCCTAGATGAATTAAATACCTTGCAGTCAGTTTAAGTGGTATTCATCTTAAATCTCATCTCTCACTACGTCCTAACTAATCATTTTACGTTGCAATCAAAATTACGATATTTGAAATGACCAAGAAGAAAATGACTTACTTCTGCGCGCATTGATCATAAATTACTTTTCTACCAACACTTGGGTAGGAGAAGACTTTGCGCACATATCCGTTTTGGCACCTACCGAAAGATTCCTGGGAAGCTTTGATAAAAGAAGGAAAACAAGTGTTTTCCATAACATCATGATTGTGGTGGTCGTCGAATTTGAAGACCTTTAGCACATCACCATTTCGACCCAATTCTATGCTTGCAGAGCAACCTAGTAAGAGGTCTTTATTACAAGATAATATGAGTCTTCTGAGTAGGAGTGCTTTCTCTGTTTCATTGGTGACTCTCTCAATGACCTTGTAGTCCTTCATCTTGAAGCGATGTCCTGATAACTAAAACAATAATGTTTATTATTTGGCTAATTTACTGTCAAAACTGGCCTTTTTAAGTTCTGATTCAAGAGGAATCTATTTGCAATCACTTTCAAGCATATGTTGGTATGGGAAGTGTCGTAATGTTTGTTCGGCAGAAAGAGAGATTAACTCGTTAAGAATAGCCGTTAGCCATACATGACCAGAACTACTGATGCAATTTAGCCCTATTAATAATATAACATCCGGAGTGCACAATGGACTTATCTCCACTTGTTGCACACTTGGCAACGAATACTCATAAGCCGATAGTTGATATCTGACTGTAAACTACTATCACTCAACTGAATGTCGTAATCGACCACCTCCACAGTACTCACTTTACCATTTTCTATACCTTCGTGTCCGTCTCTCTTTTGTATCTGTGAATCACTCTTCTGTTCTTCCCCCCCCCCTCCTTCAAATTTTCTCACTTTGATGTTCCTCCCCTCTGTGAAGCTCGAAGTCAGCTAAGGGACTAATGAATACTAACATAAAGTCTGCCATTTTAAATAAATAATAAATATTAGACTCGGTTTAATTGAGAAGACTGAACATATAATCTAATTTTCATGACCGATATGCCAATATAGCATTTGTAAGGCGAGAAATAGCACGATAAATGCTTAAGTTGCCATGATTATTAACACTGACGCAACTTTGAAATTACATGGGGGTGGGCGATTGACTTACCTGCACGTGGTAAAACCTGGGTGACGTATACTCATACGCCAAAAAAAGCCAATTAACTGGCAGTTGACTTCTGACTTCAAACTACTATCACCCCACTGTATGCCATATTCGACCCCTTTCACAGTACTCATCTTACCTTTTCTCTGTCTTTTTGCCTGTCTCTGTTACGTTTGTGAATCATTATTCTGTCCCTCCCTCTCGACCTCCTACTCTCTGTGTAGCCCGAAGTCAACTAAATGACTAATGATAACTATCAAAACGCCTGCCATTTGAAATAAATAAATACCATTGAAATTACATTGATATTGCACTTAGAGTGCACACCAATGCAATATTTTGCCTTAAGATCTTCAATTCTTCCCGCACAACCCGAGTTCTGCAAGTAAGAGGTTTCTTCTACCTGCTCGCAAGAACGATTCGCTTTTCAACGCCCTTTTGATTGATTATATTTGAACGGTAACTTTAGCCACGCTCGTGATCGATTTTGTAACCTCTGACTTTTGAATATTTTATGAAGACTAAAATTACTCCACCTAAATACCTCTCAACAACTTTGATAATAAAAATTCAAAAATAAAATTGTTTTAGGCCTTATTTTAATGAAGCAATTACCTTGATCTATTCAACTGAAGCTTATTTCAACCTAACAGGCCTTCAATAAGACAAACATTGAATAACACAAAGGGT